TAGCAAGTTAGGGTAAGGAGATGGCCCCAAGCGGTCCGCTACGCATGCGGAGGCGGCCGCCGCCACATGGGAGGTTTTTCGGAATTGGATTTTGACCATTGTTGTCAGATCTAAGGATACTAGGGTAGAGCAGGCAATGTAAATTTTGTTTATGAGATTCTGGATGTGAGTTAGGTGCCAAAAATGGCCGACTGTGGGGTGGCTATAGCGGGGCCGATGTGGCACGAGCCATGACCAAAAATTCCTTAATTGAACTTTTTTTTACCTTCTAGGGGCAAATTATCAAAAACAGTTAGTGATAGAGTTGTTTTCTCTTTATAAAATTATTAGAAGATTGCAAAATCAGTTTTTTAGAATTATTTTCTTTTGATACGGTTAAAAATGCTCTTATAAATATGCCAACAATATTCCTGCCATTTTATATTACTACCCAAATACACACAAATTAAACAAATATCGTTTGCTGGTAGTACGATGTTCAGAAGTCGTTTTATGGAAGAACGAGTACTATTTATCATTTACCCACAAGGAACATTTTTCTGTATTCGTTTTCCCTTGGAACGAAACTTGAAGCTTTCGTTCTACCGTAGAGCCATTTTGTAAAGTTGCTGCACGGGTGGACGACAGTAGATTATTTCTAAAATTTTGTTGATTTGAGGTGTATTTGTGTAATTTTCATTTGAAAATGTATTTTAAAAATAAAAGGCATAATTAATATTATAATTACTAAATAATAATATAATATACTAATAATCTATAAATTATTTATTAATGATCAAGATTAGAAAATATGGATGAGCTTATCCGGTCGTTTTTTGTTGGCAGGTTCATCCACATATGGAGAACATTTCTTTTAGATGGCTGACACCCTATCCATATTATCCGCAAACCAAATACTTTTTAAATATAAATCGACATACCTCACCAATGAACCATGGATATCAATCGAACCCAACACACTCATAATTCATCGGTTGTCCACCCAATAATTTGTGGTGCAGTACATGGAAGTTTTTTTTGCTGTGAGGCACCAGCACCAGCTTGTCAATCAAGTGATATACAACGTTCTCAAACTGTGTTGACCATTTAAAAGAACGATTATTAAGTGCGATAATAATACAGAAGATTAATTCGCTTTGACTTGACATGGCTATTTTTTTTCTGCTGAGGCCTAGAGGCTTGAGCCAGATGGGATGATACGATCTTACAGATAAGATGAAGATATCCAGACATCTTGTAAGAGATCCTTCTGCATGTTCGTTTCTCTTATATTCCGTCTTTTTTAGCTTGGTTTTTTAACTGGAGCATTGTTTTTCTCTCACAACAAATCAGCCGGAACAGTATTTTAGTTTGTTTTTTTTTCAGCGAGGGCCATAATGCCATGACGATGTGGAGGTTGGTAAGCAGCTTTCTCCGTACATGTGTGCAACCTCCATCCTCACTGCAATGGATGAGGATAATTACGCGTCACTCAAAAGTGATACTCGATCACCAGATTTTTTTTCGTGATTGTTTTTCTGGTCCAAATATGTAACTTGGTATACGTATTTTTCTTAGTAAAATAGGAAATACTGTATGTTTTTTTTGAGAAGTCACTGTCAGCTCAACGTACCATGAAAAGATCTCCCGTTCCTAATTTGTTTTCACCCCGAATACCGTAGGTGTAGCAAAGGTAAAAACTAAAAAGGTTCACGCCAACTTGGTGACAAATCTATTAATCTTTTCTTAAGCTATCTGGTGGATCTACTATTTTAATACTAGGAGTACCTCTCTTCTGAGCAGATAACATTTTGGGTTTAGATAAGCTGTCCTCGCCTCTCGCTTCCGGTAAATAATTTGATAACAAGGTAGTACGCTCTGTTTAGCGCGACTGCAGTGTCGGTTTCAGTAATGATGAAATCTTTTGGGTGCTGGTGACCTCTCATGGGTTGATGCCTTTTGACTTGCAGGTTACTACTCCAGTCTTCAGAGTTCAGACTGGTTTATCTGTACCCATCTATTCCGGAATGTGTTGCGTGTTTCCCCCGTATCTTCTTTCAAAAAAATTAAGTCTTCCCCGTATAGAAGCCTACACGGAGGCTCGCCGCAGGCGATCACGCGCTATTGGATGCTTCGTGCTTGCAACTTGCAGCCTCATCCGGTTGACTAGTCTCGTCATCGTCCGTATTTTTGTCGACACATGCCACGTCAGTGATTTGATAGCCGACTCGATATCCGGTGTGCCCGCAAGTCCGCCACGCCCATCTCCGCCCAGATTCGCATGTCCCAACAGCAACACTAATAAGGCCGCGTTTAGATGCTAAATTTTTTTTGGTTTTGGACACTGTAGCCCGTTTGTTTGTATTTAGCAATTAGTGTCTAATTATGGACTAATTAGGTTCGAAAGTTTCGTCTCGCGATTTCTCATTCAACTGTGCAATTAGTTTTTTTTTCATCTACATTTAGTACTCCATGCATGTGCCGTAAGATTCGATGTGATGGGTACTGCGTAAAATTTTTTAGAATCTAAACAAGCCCTAATACAGCCCGCTGGTAGTATAAATTTTTATTGCCTATCATTCAATGACTCAATTCATTTATACAGTAGTTATATCTTTATTATTAATGTGTGGCCATTTGTTTTTCTCATTGAGTTTCTTGGTTCTTGTATCTAAACTGGCTGTAAACTTACAACCCGCTTCTCCTCTCTCTCCTTCCCTCTCTCCTCCACCTTAGCATTTAGCTTGCTTACATCCCCTTATTATACGTGCTCTAACGTACACTTGTATGGCCACGCATACGGCACATCAAACACTTCACTCTTTCACTCTCCTAGTTAAATCAGTCAAAACTATATGCTCTTCATCCTAAAATAATTATATATCTCATTTTTCAAAAAGTTAAACTTCTCTAAATTAAACTATATATATAATAATATTGATATTTATACTTAAATAAATTTATTATAAAATTATATACTATGATCAAAATTATTATGTTTTGTTATATATCTGATCAAATTTTTAAGAAAATCGAGTTGTAAAAAGTTGTGATGTATAGTTATTTTAGAATAGAAAAGGTATGTTCTGTTGTATAAATGTAGGCTAGATGATTTTTTAGTTTGATAACATTTGTAGAACTATTGTTTTTTATACACCAACATATTTTTTGTTACTGTCCTCATAGGTTTCTTTTCTAGATTTTCCTCTTGATGCGACTGATGCTCTGGATGAACGAAGTCGTGTTAAACTTTGGAGCCAAAGTCTCATGTCGAATCCATCAATCAGCTTCAAAACATTAACATGCTGCAAAGATTTAACGTTTCAGAGCCAATCCAAAATATATATCTAAATCGATAAAAGACAACGGCAGTTGAATCGGCGAATACAACATACGCTGCAGATTCAATATCTCTGACCGTTTGTCTGTCATTGGATACCTAATTTCCTCTCTGCGACCATCGACGATGAGGTCAATAACCCAGACTTACTGTCCTCAGCTCGTAGGGAGTGTCCAGGAGCACTCATCCCTTTGCAGATAATGATCACAAAATCTCCAGTCGATGAAATTGACACCCGTAACGGCAACCCCGTCATGAGCATCACCGAAGTTATCATAGGTAACAAACTCCTAGCAAAAATTATTCGAACTTCACCGATAAATTTATTTGAAGTAAAGTAAGCAAACTATTACGGGTAATCCTTAAAACTAAAGACCTGTTTGGTTAGTGACCAAAACTTGCCACGCCTAACCTTCGGCAAACTCTGACTACCAAAGAAAGTGTGGCGATCAAAATTGAAGCCACACTTGTGGCAAGGTTTGACATGAAAATGGATCTATGACATGTGGGGCAGGGTGTTAAGAAAGTGTGATGTACAATAGGTGTGGCAGTGAACCAAACAGCTGCTGAAGAAACCGTGGCACGACGAACCTTTAGCGTGGCAGGTTTTGGTCACCAACTAAACAAGCCCTTAAATCCTTTTACATGTTCAAAAAAAACCCACCCTACGTTGCTAGTTCCATCAGCGATAGACTCGCAAGGGTGGTGCAACGACAATGGGCACTCCAAGCAGGTGGGTTCTTCCCCTCGACCCATGCATACATATTGTTTGTGGTTACTAAAATTAGGCAACGTATCAGGTGTAAACCAACCAATCTGTACAAACTTGAAAACTATTAATCAGGACCACTACATGCTACCTAATGGATGGGGTGAGAGGTGGAATTTTTTGCGCTTAAGCCCCCCACCCGCCGGCATTTTTTTGCGCTTAAGCTCCCTCAACCCATCCATTGGATCAACATCTAGTGGTCATGATCGGTAGTTTTTAAGTTTGCACGGGTTGATTGATTTACACCTAATAGGTTGCGCTAAAATTAAGCATCTGTCGACGTACGAGAGAGTGGGTAATCACAGCTAGCCAAGCACGTATCGTTCTGCTGGTGCACGAGATTCAGGGGCTTCCCACCGAGCGATGCGCTAGGAACGCTTGTTCCAGAAGAAAAGGAAAAATATACCCTCCCTCCAGGTCCTGAAACAGATGGGAAACGAACAAGAACGACGAGTGGCTCGCCAGTGCTCACTCTGCCAGTCACCAACTCACCACACGCACAAGACGAAACGGGCTGGAAATGTGGATGAAATGGTCCGAGGACCCGGCGATTGAAAACGAAAACGAAACGAGCGGAGACGCTAGCGCGCACGCGGCCCGCAACCGTGTCCAGGGGAGCCAACCAGGAAGGGAGGCGTGCCCCGCAAGCCGCTGCCCGAGTCCCCCACGCAAACCGCAAGAATATCCGCCACGTGGACGGCCCACGCTCGCCGACCACCTTAGCCAATCACCACTCAACAGTTGAGTGAGTTAACAACCCCCTCCCCTCCCTTCTTCACCTCTTCCTCCTCACACGGCTTCCTCCCCCCCACCTCCAGTCATCCACCACCACCACCATTCCTCTCACCTCACGGCACGCGCAAACCGCCCGAACCCTAGCTGGCGGCGGGAGGCGGCGGCGGCGGCGGCGGGATGACGCGGCGGTGCTCGCACTGCAGCCACAACGGGCACAACTCGCGGACGTGCCCCAACCGCGGGGTCAAGATCTTCGGGGTGCGCCTCACCGATGGCTCGGCCATCCGCAAGAGCGCCAGCATGGGGAACCTCTCCCTCCTCTCCGCGGGGTCCACCAGCGGCGGCGCGTCCCCCGCCGACGGGCCCGACCTCGCCGACGGCGGCGGCGGGGGCTACGCCTCCGACGACTTCGTCCAGGGCTCCTCCTCCGCCAGCCGCGAGCGCAAGAAAGGTCAGCTGCCGCCCGATCTATCTTTGCCCCTCCCCTCTAATAATCGATGATCCACCCGCCGCTACCGCCCGATGCAGAACCCTAGGCAATAGATCCTTCCAGGCAGTTCTAACCAGCTCCAAGCTTTTCCATTCGTTTGTCTCCTGTCTGCCTACTCGGCTCACTTTTTTTAGATGCGTGCACCTGGTGCTCAGTGATTAGGTGCCCCTCTAAGTTTGGGAAAAGGGTAACTCCAGCTGAGAGAAAATCATTAATGGTACTACTACCACACTGCGAGTACTCCTGCTATTGTATGGATAATATTGTACTAGTTGAGTTGATACATATGGTACTCGAATTCGACCCGTAACTGGTACAAGGATCACCACCTCTGGAGGCACTGTACTGTTTGACTGGGTCATGGGGATGCTTTAAGAAGCTCAGCCCTACAAATTTTTTAGAACAAGGCTTAAGGATTGTTCCGAGCAGTGGTGTCAGTTGATTTTGACGAAATTTCTCACTGATTGGTGATGCTGAATGACTGTGGAGGCATAGGGCTGCGTAATCAGAGGTATAGGGCTGCGTAATCAGGAAGGATATGCCGAGCAATAGAAACCGCTGCGCTAACTGCTAACGCATAGTCTTATGTATGCCATACATGTGCCAATGGCCAAGGTCTGGTGTAAATGTGCTACTGCACTGGGATGCAATCACTATTATGCAGTGCCAAGTTCTGGTTGTCCATACTTGATAAGGAAACAAATGTTTTCATATGTTATTGGAAAAATCAAATGCTTGATAAATGAGTACCAGCATTCTTCAAGTTTTATCTTCATTATTAATTATTGCTGCTGATTCTTGTGAGATCTTCAGCGAACATTGATAGCTAGTTCTTGGTTTACACTTGGTGGTGGGTGGTAGGTGTTTTAATGTAAATCAAATGGCACGTTTCTTCAGATTATGCCCATTCTTTTAGCTCTGTTCTGATTTCGTGCTGTTTGGCTAGTCCTCTATTTGTCGATGGTACCCTTCCTATATGATTTGTTTAATAGCGAAGTGGTGGCGCTAACTTTTACCATACTCTGTTAATATGCCGCTGTTCATTCATTTCAGTTCACTGGCTTCTCGTAGCTTCACATATTGCTGCCTGCCTGTGATTTGGACTTTGTGTGTCATGTTGCTGATTAAAGTTGCTCTGCCAGGTGTTCCTTGGACTGAAGAAGAACACCGGAGGTTTTTGCTGGGATTACAAAAGCTTGGGAAAGGTGATTGGCGAGGAATTTCTCGTAATTTCGTGGTCTCAAGAACACCTACTCAAGTAGCAAGTCATGCTCAAAAATATTTTATACGCCAATCAAATATGAGCAGAAGGAAGAGAAGGTCTAGCCTTTTCGACATGGTGCCTGATGAGGTAACTTGCTTGATCTTAGCCTTGATTTCTGCACAAATACTGCTTGCTATGGCCTTGTTTTGTACTCATACATGTGTTGTAACTACACTATTGCTTGTTTTGACTAGTGCAACTTTTTGGATCTAGTTCTGTAGCTTCTATATTTTACTGACAGTCAGTGTTTGCTGTTTAAACAGTGTGTAAATGGTAAAAGGCCAACTGTGTCGTTTAGGCCCTAAACATTCCATTTAATGGTTGGACTGTTTAAAGCCGTTTAAACCATAAAAAACGGTGTAAATGGCTTAAACAGAATAGAGTTAAACATAATTAAATGGGCTAAATTGCTGTTTAACTCAACATTTAGTCAATAGGAGGATTACAACTATCACATTGACACCAAACTAATTAACATTGTAATGGTGGAGTGGGATCTAAGTTTTCTTCCCAAAAAGAAGATTTATTTGCTAGGATACATATTTTAATGTGTATACTTTCTAGTATATTTGACTTTTATATACATAAATATGTATATTTTAGTGGTACTATACAAAACTGTTTAGATCGTTTAACTCAGTTTAAACACCGTTTAAACAGCCTAAACAGTAAACAAAAGGTGACTGACTGTTTACCGTTTAGCGTTTCGGATAGCACTGCTGACAGTTATGCACAGTGTCCTATCCTTAATCTCATTAGGTAGTTCTTGGGGCCTGTTTGGTAGTGCTTGACTTCTTGATAGCTCTAGCTCCCTGATTCTTTGGTGGAGCGATTTTGGTGGGGGAGAAGTGATTTATAGTGATTCTGCTGGGGATTAAACGGAAAGCGGTGAGGATGGATTTTTTAGCCGTTTGGCTGTCCAGGAGTGATTCTCAGAGAGAATCTGTAGCCTTGTGCTTTGCATATAATCTGAACTGAACTGTGCTCTGTTTGTTTTACAGTCCATGGACCTTCCACCCCTTCCTGGAAGTCAAGAACCAGAGACCTCAGTGTTAAATCAACCACCACTGCCTCCTCCTGTGGAGGAGGAGGTGGAATCGATGGAGTCAGATACTTCTGCTGTTGCAGAGAGTTCTGCAGCTTCTGCTCTCATGCCTGAGAGTTTACAGCCTACCTATCCGATGATTGTTCCAGCTTATTTCTCACCATTCTTGCAATTCTCAGTTCCTTTCTGGCCAAATCAGGAAGATGGAGGCGATCTGCCCCAAGAAACACACGAGATTGTCAAGCCTGTTGCAGTTCATTCCAAGAATCCAATTAATGTTGATGAACTTGTGGGCATGTCAAAGCTAAGCATAGGGGAGGAGCCTGGTCAGGAGACAGTGTCTACTTCTCTGTCGCTAAATCTGCTAGGGGGTCAAAATAGGCAGTCGGCTTTCCATGCAAATCCGACGAGAGCTCAAGCCTGATCCCCCATCAGCACAGATACTGCATTTAGATGGAATCCTGGGCAAAATTAGCTTTGCCTCCTTTTTTTTTCTATATTTAAGATTAACCGTGCTCTGTAGCTTGTATCATGTGCTGTAAGTTATGCTATGTATGAATGTACCTGTTGTTTGTCTGGCACGCATGATATGACACTCTTATGTTCACAAAGTCATTAATGTTAGTGCTGATCTTTATGGTTGTAATGTTGTAAACTTTTTCCAAGAAAAAAGTATTAGCCAGTTCTTTTCAAGTGCACTCAGTTCTCCACCTGATGTTTCATTGCTGAAGATGATGCCGGTTAATCGCTGGCCATGCAAAACTCTTTTTTTCTTTCTTTTTGATGAAGCAGCACGGCGCTGGCGACGAAGCTAGTTTGCGATACATGCGGAGTTTGTTGTTGCATCATGTATTTGAATCTGTTCTATACTGCGTTAATTCTTTTGTGCTGCATGTGTTACTGTACATGGTTTCACTTTGTTTTTTGTTTGTTGTAACCGTGCCCAGCACAATTGCACAAACTGTTTGATTGATCTCGTGCAACATGCTTGTGGAATATTCTTTCGAATTCTCTTGAGTAGAACCGTATCTTTAAATCCTCTCATTTCCATTCTGACCAAGTGTTTATATGTGGTTGGTGACAGTACTGACAAGTGACAAGTCCCTTTCAGCTTATCTTGGTTATCCAACTATCCAAACACAGGACACAATGTCACTTTTGTATCTTTAGCAAAGAGTCTTTCGCTTCGTGCGCGCTAGTGGCTGCAAAAGTTTCAAGAATCATCGAAGATCGTTTCACCAGCAATATCGGTTCCTCCCGCAATTTATTATCATAAGGTATGAGTGCTGCCATCATCAGATAAAAAGAAGGGAGAGAAGAATTCGAACATTTAAAAAACTCGATCCGCGGTGGCTAGACAACCCTCGGGTATTCCGGCTTAAGAAAAAGATCTTCTCACGCAGATCGAGAAAACCCTCGAACCCCTACCTCACCCGTACACAGCGGCACTGCAGCTCCGTGAGATGAGCTAGCCACAGACGAGGGAGTTTTTTCCCCCCTTGATTGCTACGGCCGAAGCCACGAATAAAGAGTGAGTCCCTTGGGACTCGAACTCTGACCACCCCAAGGGGGAGGTACTGAGCTTGCACTGACCACCTGGTCAGCCACCGTTCCCAATTCGAACATTAAATAAGAAAGGTCTGCTGAAAACGGAAACATGCATCAGACAACTCCTATAGTACTTTGATCAGTAATTTCAGGATCATCAATTTGTTAGGTTGATTTGCTTTTGACAGCTGATGAACATAAAAAACAAAGGGCACGGCTGTTTCTTCACTGTCATATAGTACTATATCATTTCTTGATTCCTACCTTTGGCATGGCCATCTGTAACTACTGACAATGACAACAGATAAGTTAGTTGTATATTATATACAATTCTGTATTTCTGACTTAGATCAGCTAATCACAAACCTATGTTTCCCTTGCAGGTTTGATCAAATACACTTCAACAATCCTTTTCTTTTCAATAATGCTTTTCTCTGTACTGAAGTAACTCATCAGTATAGTGTGTTCTCAGCATCATCAACTTGTTAGGTAAAATTTTCCTTTTACAGCTGAACATGAAAGAAGAAACAGCAGCGCTGTTTCAACATTCTTGTTATATCAGTGCTTCTGTACTCTTTTAACATTTGGAACGGTCAGTTGTAGGAACTGACAACAACGGCAGACTGATAAATTACTCGATTTACATGCAAATGTACATTTACATCAGCTTGTCGCAATCGTATACTATGTTTTCTTTGCAGTTTTGATCAAATACACCCAACTCAGAAAAGTACTACAAGCCCGACAAAGCTATCTTTCCTGCTCCTGCTTCTTTCTTATCCTCTTCCTCCCCTACAACCTTCTTCCAGAACCAGTGCCTCTTCCAGACCTGCTCCATCTGCTCCATGGGCAGCTTCTTTGTCTCAGGCAGGAAAAGATAAACAAACAATGTCACCAAGCAGACCCGTCCACCGAAGACGAAGAACGTCGCCGACTTGATGCGACAAAGGACCTCAAAAAACGTCTGGCCAATCACAGATGTCATCAAGAAAACCACAGCGACTACAATGCTCTGCCCTGCGGACCTGATCTCCAGTGGACAAACCTCAGCAGGGACCAAAAAAGTAAGAGGGCCCCGTGACCATGCAAAGCCTGCAACGAACACACACATTGTGATCAGCACTAGGTATGGATACCCATCATCCATTTCCTCGTAGTCCTTGAACTTTGCAGCCAGGATTGCGCTAACAGTAAACTGCGAAAGTATCATCTGCGCACCGCCTACAAGGAAGAGCTTCCTGCGCCCAAACCTGTCAACCACCATCATCGCTATGATGTTGGCAAATGTTGCACATAGGCGTGTCACCACCGAGGACAAGAGGGATGCGCTCTCCTTGAGACCGATTGTCCTGAACAAGACCGGTGCATGGAAGTTCATCACGTTGATCCCAGTAACCTGATTGAAGAAAGAGATCAGCAGTGCTACTACAAGCTGTGGCCTGTACTTCCTCTTGAGTATGCTCCTAAATGGATACCGGGTTGCCCTTGCGAGGTTGCTAGCACAGACCAAGTCATCAAGCTCTTTCTGTACCGAGGTTGTTCCACGCAGCTTCTAGAGCAGGATCCTTGCCTTGTCCGTGTTGCCATCACATTGGATTATGAAGCTTGGCATCTCAGGGAGGAAGATTGCGCCGATGGTTAGGAATGCAGCAGGCAGTGCAGCCATGGACAGGGATATCCTCCATCCCCATCCTGCTGTAATTTTTATGACAAAATAGTTGAGAATGTTAGCAAAGAGAATGCCAAGGCTGATGCAAAGCTCAAAACCATTGTTGATTGCCCCACGGTAACGGGGTGGCTCCATTTCTGACAGGTACAATGGGATTGACTGCAAATGTAATTTGCATAGTATTAGCACAGTTCTAATTGTTCTTTGGGAGAAAGTGATATTAAGAAAGACATGCATCTGGTATAGTCTACAGGTCAAAAGGAATGTTATCTAATCCATAATAAACGTGATTATAGGACATTACTATTCAGACATTGATGTGTTAAGACTTATGGTCTTGGTTGGTGCTCTTGCTCAATGTGAATTTATGAACAGTCACTGTTTTTCTACTAGCTATTCTAATTATTAGCCAGTGAATATTACTGCAAATTGAAACTAGAAAGTTCAGGTTACAACACAATTTTTACTTTCCAGCTATATTATATCTCCACTCTGATACATAATCACTTCACTTGTTGAACACTTGAAGGTTGTTTAGTAAGCACTAACTTAAGGGAGCACAATCCATCAGCAACAAAGACACTTGAAAGTCATAATAAGCCAAACATGTACTTTTGCTCAACTTTAGCGATCTATTGTTGCCAATTTGGGAGCTGAACAAATGGCATCACATGAACACTTTGTTTTCAATCACTCAGTCCAACTCAATGAAACAGAAATACTTGATTTGTCTACAAAAGTTGGATCTCAAGTCTGATACTGATTTCATAGCCACACAGGATTTTCTGAGTTCATGCCAGATATACTGCACAATACACATTTAATTTCCAATATCTAGATCTTAGAAAATTCATCAGGCATGAAACTGTTGTGCTGATTTTTCGAACTATATAACATGTTATAAGCAATTCAAAGTCTTTTCTACTTGAATGTGCTAGATTGACCATACGTAGGCCTTTGTTTCCTTCAAATCTAAATTGTCCTATATGTGTGACAAAGGGAGTATTGCGCAAGCGATTTATGATCTTTTGAGCTAAATATGTGCCCTATTGAATACTGATTCAAGCATAAGTTACCTGATTAGTGAACCCGAGACCAATTCCCAGTAGAATCCTGTTAATTAGAAGCATGGGAACATTGCTGGCTGCACCACCAAACACTGAGACAGCGATGAAGACAGTGCCGCCGATGAGCATTGATGTGCGGCGGCCATACTTCCATGTGATGGATGCTGCAGCCAGAGTTGCAACAAGGCCGGCAATATAGAGGGAGGACGTGAACACTGTAAAGTAATCTGCTGCTCTCCCATCTCTGAACATGTGGCAGGGACAGGCGCCGAAAGGGCTCCCTGCTGCTGCACTGTAGCCGCGGCAGGGGCAGGCGCCAAAGTCAGTCCTGCTGTCACATCTAGTCACTGTAGCAGTCTGACAGCCTGGCATGTCTGTGTATTAGGATTAGATGTGTAGAGTTGTATATATAGCTTCCCACTGCAACTCAGTAAAGAGAGCGAGTTCAGTTTTGCCATCTCCTTTGCAGAGCTCCGGCTAACGCTGGTGCTTATACTGTGTGTGCGCGCTCTGTTCTCCCTCCCTCTTCTACCTCCAGCCGTAGTGTGTGTAGTCGGAAAAGACGGTGAGCGGTCGGCTCACCCATGCGGGAGATCTCGGGACCAACAAGTGGTATCAGAGCTGCGGGATGTAGTACACATCTGTCAGTGCGCGGTACTCACCATTGAAAGGATCTAACAATGCCTAGAGGGGGGTGAATAGACGTATCTAAAAATTTACTGCAAATGCTAAGTTCAATTCTGTCAGTCACAGTCGGAAGTCCCGACATTTGGGTCGGAACTTCCGACGTTGTCAGAAGTTTCGGCACAAACGTCAGCAGTTCCGACGCCTACGTGAACTACAAAAGCAGTGCCAAATTTAACTTTGCGGATAAATAAACTTACAACCTCACTTCCTAGTGGTTTGGTGAAGATGTTAGGTCACTCCTCCTCCAAACCGTAGATCGAGTCCAAACCCTAAAATGCAAGTTTGGGAGGGAAAGAGACAAACATATACAAATAATCTCTAGCAATCACAACAACAAGCACACGGGACACAAGGATTTATCCGAGGTTCGGCAACCCCACTAAGGAGCTCCTACGTCCTCGTTGTTGAGGTGACCACCAAGGTCGGAGTCTTTTCCACCTCCTTGCCTCTCTCAAAGCGACCACAAAGGTCACTTGAGCTTTCCACTAAGAAATCGAAGGGTGATACAAACTTCCTAAGGATCTTCCACAAGATGGAAGCTCTAGGGCAACACCTAGCCGGCTAGGGGCAAAGCCCCAAGAGTAATAGACGCAAAATCAGCCGGCTTGACGAAGAAATCAAGTGCTCAAGCTTTCCAACGTGATGCTCTTACTAAATCCACTCTCCTTTCACTCAAACCCTAAGGGAATCGAAGATTCGAGCAAAGGGGGAAGGAGAGGGGTGCTTTGGTTGCTTGGGAGCTGTTGAGTTCAAAGCTAGTCCGCTGTGAAATGAGTCGCTGCAGGTTAGAAAATGAAGAGAGGAGTATTTATACTCCAAGTGAAAATCCAACCGTTCAGATCTACGTCGGAAGTCCCAACGCAGATCCCAGGACTTCCGACATCAATAGAAAATACTGTTCACAACGGGTCAGAAGTCCACGGGTGAAAGTCACTGTCGGAACTCCCGGCAAACGTCGAGACTTCCGACGGTCGGAACTCCCGGCGTACGTCGGGACTTCCGACGTGCCTAGTTAAACAAACAGCCATCACCGCTGATGCCGGGACTCCCGGCTTGGGTCAGGTCAGTGTCGGAACTCCCGACGAACGTCGGGACTTCCGATGAGCACAGACAACGAGCAGTCAGAAGCACAGGTGCCGGGACTCCTGGCTTAGGTCGGGACTTTCGACTGTCGGGAGTTCCGACTTACGTCGGGACTTCCGACACTGAAAGTCATAGAAAATTATTCTAAGTGCGTGTGAAGTGCTAGAGTGACTCTCTTTTGATTTTATTTAAATGCTTGAGCACTCTATCTTCCTCAGACCAACTAAACTTGCATCCCTCTTTATAGTGCGGCGGATCCTAAACTCAAAAACAAAATTAAACCCTTTGGAGATAGTTTTGAGTTCGTCCGCCTTTACAACTTCAAGAATTGAGGGATACCATTTCATCTTTATCAACTCTTTGAATCTTTCATGGGACTAATAGCTGCAACATATCTCATTAAGATCACATTAGTCCCTAATTTGGATGTCATCAATACACCAAAACCCACATAGGGGGCAAATGCACTTTCAACCATTCTGGCACCTGAAGATGATGGTGCCGCGCCCTCGGATCACCACCCTTGAGCCGCCACCGAACTTCACCGTGCCGGTCACGTTGCCGTCGAGCTCGGAGAAGGCTTCCTTGGAGCCCGTCATGTGGTTGGTGGTGCCGGAGTCCAGGTACCACCGCTGCTCCTGCTCGTCGCCCACACGTCCAATGTGGACTTGGACGCGCAGTTATGCGAGGTACTGATCGAGAGCGGGATCCTGAAGATTCGGGATCGGGAGCGGCGTCTTCTCGCGAAGGTAAAACGCTCACGTAATCAATTGTACCTGCTCGACTTGAAGGTGGAGCATGACACACCGAGGAGCCATGGCTATGGCATGCCCGGTTCGGCCATCTCAGCTTCGACGCACTCGGTCGGCTAGAGAAGATGGTCCGAGGGCTGCCCCACATCAAGCACGTAGGCGAGCTGTGTGACAGCTGCCTAGACGGGAAGCAGAGGAGGCTACCATTCCCAAAGGCGGCCAAGTATCGCGTGGCGGACGCTCTCGAGCTCGTCCATAGTGATCTCTGTGGGCCAATCACGCCAGCCACAAACAGTGGTCGGCGGTACTTCCTCCTGCTCGTGGATGATTGCAGTCGCTATATGTGGCTGCAACTCCTAACGAGCAAGGACGAGGCGGCGGAGGCGATCAAGAAGTTCAAGGCGCGCGCGGAGGCGGAGAGCGGCAAGAAGCTACGCGTGCTGCGGACTGATCGTGGCGGTGAATTCACTTCGGTAGAGTTCGCTGCGTACTGCACGGGTCAAGGTGTGGTGTGACAGCACACTGCACCATACTCGCCACAGCAGAATGGCGTGGTGGAGCGGCGGAACCAGACAGTGGTCGGCATGGCTCGATCCATGGTGAAGGCCAAGAGCATGCCGGCAAGGTTCTGGGGTGAGGCGGTGACCACGGCGGTGTTCATCCTGAACCGCGCGCCCACAAAGGCCCTGAAGGGCGTGACGCCGTTCGAAGCTTGGTATGGGTGCAAGGCGAGCGTGTCCTTCCTCCGGACATTCAGCTGCATCGGCCACGTCAGGAAAATGAAGCCGGTCCTCACCAAGCTGGAGGACAGGAGCACACCAATGGTGCTCCTGGGCTATGAGGAAGGTACCAAGGCGTACCGGCTCTACGACCCACGTGGAGGCAAGGTGGTTGTCTCGCGCGGCGTCGTGTTCGACGAGAAGGCGGCCTGGGACTGAGACAGTCCAGGCACGGGGGAAGCTGCCGGCTTCACCAGCACCTTCGTTGTCGAACACTTGGTCATTCACGGTGGTGGAGACACTAGAGAGGAGGTGTTGATCACTCTAGCAACAGAGCCGAGCACTCCTAGGGTGGTGCCGAGCACTCCGGGAGGGGTGCTGAGCACTCTAGGAGGGGTGCCGAGCGGTCCTGTAGTGGTGCCGACCACTCCAAGACTAGTGCCGAGCACTCCTGCAGTGGTGCCAACCACTCAAGGAGTGGTGACGAGCGGTTCAGGAGTAGTACCGAGCACTATAGCCAGGGTGCCGAGCACTCCAGGTGCTGTGCCTACCACTCCGGCGGAACAGGGGACTCCATCGACGCCGATCGAGTTCGCATCACCTCCAAGCAACATCACATAGTTCGTGGATGCTTTCCACGACGGTGAGGAGGAGCGGTTCTGCAGGATGGACGACATCGTCGGCGGCACAGGGTCCTCAGGCCTGGCGGGTATACTGCTCAATGACCTAGAGCTGTTTCTCGTCAGTGCAGAGGAACCACCCACGTTCGCGTTGGCCAAGCGCGATGCAAATTGGCGACGGGCGATGCTAGAGGAGATGAAGACGATCGAAGAAAACGAGACTTGGGAGCTCATCGATCCACCTCCATGATGCCGTCCGATTGGCCTAAAGTGGGTGTACAAGGTCAAGCGGGACAAGCGCGGCGCCATTGTCAAGCACAAGGCGCGCCTCGTCGCCCGAGGCTTTGTCTAGCTCGAGGGCATCGACTTTGAGGAAGTCTTTGTGCCGGTAGCAGACACGGAGTCTATCCGACTGCTGCTGGCTTTGGCAGTAGCGAAGGACTGGCGCGTCCATCACCTGGCCGTAAAATCGGCCTTCCTCAACGGTGAGCTGGCGGAGACGGTGTTTGTCAGGCAACCTCTGGGTTTCGCCATCAAGGGAGCGGAGCACAGGGTGCTCCGACTGCGCAAGACGCTCTATGGGCTACGGCAGGCCCCGCGAGCGTGGAACGCCAAGCTTGACGCCACGCTGGGCAAGCTTGGGTTCACGCGGTGTGCAACCGAGCACGCGCTCTACATGCGGTGACGGGGAAAGAGGAGCTCGTTGTCGGTGTGTATGTGGACGACTTGATCGTCACCGGCGCGCGTGCGGAGGATATCGATAGCTTCAAGCGTGAGATGGTGGCTTGTTTTCGAATGAGCGATCTCGACGCGCTCTTCTACTACCTCGGCATCGAGGTGAGACAGGGGAATGAGGCGCTCACGCTCGATCAGAGCGCGTACGCCTCGAAGTTGTTGGAGCGGAGCGGCATGGCTGAGTGCAAGCTGTGCATGACTCCGATGGAGGAGCGGCTGAAGCTGACGAAGGCCAGTACTGCGGTGAGGGTAGATGCAACACTCTATCGGAGCATCGTCGGCGATCTACGCTACCTAGTCCACACGAGGCCGGATATTACGTTCGCCGTGGGCTACGTCAACCGCTTCATGAAGGATCCCCGAGAGGATCACTGGGTCGTGGTGAAGCGGCTGCTGCGCTACGTCAAGGGGACGGTGGATTAGGGGATCGTCTTCCCCAAGACCGGCGGAAGTAGGCTGCAGCTCACTGTGTTCGGCGATGCAGACATGGCGGGGGACATTGACGGACGGCGGAGCACCTCTGGCGTGCTCGT